ATCACTTCATTTTTAATAACAGCATACATCCAAAAAAATCCCAATGATTACAACGACAAAAAATAAAGACATTGTTGACAGTCAATTTAAAATTCAAACACACCTCCATTAAAAAATTGACTATTATTCCGTTACAGTTTCATGACTTGAGAAATTGTCTAATTTTACTTAAAACACGAAAAAAACGTTTAAAGAGTTAAACAATCTTGATCTTGTAAGCTTCAAGTAATATATAAATTCAAAAAATGCAGAATAAAAAAAAACATCCTTAAAAAGCCTAAGACGAGCAAAATATAACTAAAATAATTTAATAAAATTATTTAATTAGCAACTAAATTATTTTAATTAAACTATCGTTTTAACTAAATTATTTTTTTAGTTAAACTATGAAGGAATCTAAAAAAATTGTTAAACTATTAAATTGCAACTATTTAATTAATCTATGACCATCGCTGTAAAAAGTTATTAAAACGTTTATACTTGCTTTCCCATTACTGACAATTATCACTCGCGAGCAATCCGCTTATTTCACAACTTAAAGGCTTGCGTAAAATATTGGATAATACAGCGTAGAGAATCTTTATAGGGCGTAGTTTGCAATTCTCCTTCATATTTATATAAATATGTAACAATAAAAGGAATTTTTGTTGATGGGTCAGTGGGTAAACGGTTCTGACCCATGACCCATCAAAAAACAGTGACCTATCTGAACCATTGACCCATGGTCAGCTCTAGTTTGATGTTTGTTTTTGTTGTTTGATGTTTTTGAAATCGCATTAAACTGTATGTTTTAATTTTTAATGGTATTATCTTTATATCCGTGCGCTTATTGTGCTTCGTTTTGTTGAAAACATGTTGTTTCAGCGCCTGACGACTTAGTACCAACTTTTAGGTCAAACGGCAGTATTAAATGAAATAATCGAGATTCGAGATGTTTCGAAAAATAATAAAAATAACTTGTGTTATTTTTCAACAAAACATTTATTTAACTTCTTGTATTCGATAAATTTTTTCTAAATGTTAGTTTGGTCTTAGACTTTTGTAAAGTTGTTTCATTCAATCTCTGAAAATTACTGTATCATTTATTATTTTTCAGTTACCAACAGAACCTGCTTGCCAACGAAACTTGCCAAACAGTCCAATTATTATTTGCAAAATGGGGCAGTCTACTCAACGATCGTCTGCAGTGAAAACTTATGCAACAAAGCCTGTTCAACATTCGGAGTAGCCACTTCATCGATCGTTGTACTTGTTATAGGGGCTGCAATGTTTCTCGGGTTGCAATAAATGAGCTGAAAAGAATTCAATTAAACTTTTTCTCTGATTTTCTAAAATAGAAACATATGCTAACAAAATATTTATTTTTTTTAGAAAATATAGTTTTGTTAGAACGATACTTGAAATATGAGTTGGTTTTAAAAATATACAAAAAAGATGGGCGACTTCACGCTCATTGGCCTCTCAAAAGATTAAAAAGTTTTGCTGAATGTTTGTTTGTTTGATTGATTATTTGTATGATTGATTAATTGATTGATTGACTGACTGACTGACTGACTGAGTGACTGGCTGGCTGACTGACTGAATGACTGACTGGCTGGCTAGCTGGCTGACTGACTGACTGACTGGCTGACTGACAGACTGACTGACTGACATACTGACTGACTGAATGATAGACCGGTGTTTTTGTTTTTATCAGCTTAGTTAATATTCTATTTAGTGACATCATTCATATTTGAAATTATATATTTGTTCTATCGATTTGGGTTTTTTTTTTGTTTTTCATTGCTTACATGCTTTTAATCATTAAAATAGATCAACTGTATTTTTTAAATGAAGCTTTTGAATGATATAAACAAAAACTTGAATGATAATAATCTCATGCCTGCACATCAATCCGGTTTTAGACAATTTCACTCCACTGAAACTGCCCTGCTACGTGTTCTCTCAGGAGTTTATGCTGAGATGGATGCTCAAAACATTTCCTTGTTGGCATTTTTGGACAGAGCTTGACCTTCGACTGTGTCAATCATGAAATGTTACTGCTCAAACTGCATCAAAGTTTTGGAATATCAGCGGAGATAATAAATTGGCTCAGAAGCTAACTGATTGGCCGAACACAACAAGTTTTGTTCAACGGAAGTTTGTCCTACGTCAGTGGGGTTCGCTCTGGTGTGCCGCAGGGATCTGTTTTGGGTCCTTTATTGTTTAGTTTTATACATTTGATGTGCTGAAGATAATTGATTTTTATGATTTTACAAGCCATGCATATGCAGACGACATTCAAATTATGTTATCAGGTAAACCGAAGTTATTTCAATACGAGATTACGAGATTCATTGAATGTATGTCAGAGGTTAATCTGTGGATGTTGAGAACTGAATTGAAGCTTAATCATAGATAAACAAAATGTTTTTCTTAACCTACAACGTTGAATTTTATGATAAATATGGATGCATTTTTACTTTTAAAATAAAACATGATTATATATACTTTGCAGATATTAGTTTTATATTAATAAAAGTGAGTATAATAGAAACAATAAATGTACAATAACGAAATGAATATTTTTTTCTTTGGAAAATTCCAGGTCAGTTCAAAATCATCACTCTCTGACATGGAATTTAATCATCTAACAATATCATAAAAATATTTCAATTATTTTAATTTTTGACAAAAATAATTTTTGCATTGAACTTTTGTTAAACTTCAAATATATAAATCATTGTTTGAATGTTGGATGATGGAAAAAATTGCATTTATTAAAAAATTGCTTTATTCTGTTTTTCGGATATCACTTAAACGCAATTAACACACCTGAGGCAGGCACCTGGTGTTACGTTTTGTGTGTTGTCTATGCACAAGACGTAATCTGTGACGTACCTGTGTTGACTAAATAAAGTCAGCTCTGCAGTACACACACGTAGGGAAAAGATGAGAAATAGAAAGAGAAGAAAGAAAGAATGGGTTAATGTTATAAAAGTAGAAAGATGTAGAAGTTCACACGCAAGTCATTACTTTATACAAATTTTTTTATTGCATTTTCAGCTGTGATCAGTTAATACTTCTTTAGTTTAAAATTTGGTTTGAGTAAAATCGACAACCTAAAAACAAGAATTCAAGCCAGTCACGCATTCACGTTCACATTCGTAAATTGTACAGTCGAATTCATTCCACACACGTCATATGCATTATGCAATGCATACAGGCATATTTGCTGATATTTAAAAATGGATAGCTATAACTTTTTACTCGACTCGTGATTGAAAAATTAGGCGTGACTTTAATAGTTGTTTCTTGAAACAACTATTAAAATCTTGCCAAAATTAGAAACCTTGAGTTTGCACTTGAGTTTGACGTTGAGTTTTTCAAACAAAAAAAAATTGAAATAAAATAAATTTGTAAATTAAAAGTAAAAATAGTTGCAATTTATTTTCAACAAAAAAAAATTATATTTAAATGTCTATGAAACAAAATTTAAATTTAAATTGACTCATTAGAAAAAAATTATGAAACGGTGATTTACTAGCATATTCAAACTAAGATAACTACATATTACCATTATTATTATCAATATTATCAGGCGGTTAATGTTTGAATAGGTTTGTTATTTTTAGTAAATTTTTATAAACGCCCTCTCCTCCTCCATCTCTCTCAACTTTTTCATGAGACAATATCTACTTAGTCACAAGCGGCTACGTTGAACGGTATGGAAATAATTGTATATAAAAATTTAATAACGTTTTGACATGAAACAGTTACAGCTCTCCAGAAACAATAAAAACATTTGTGAGTTATATTTAGAGAATACTATTAATACACGAATAAATTCGAATCATGTCAGCTATTCTGGTAAGTGTGTAATTTTTAATTGCAATGTTTGCAACATTTTTTCACAGCAGTTATAATTGATATTCAATCAAAAAAATTTTTAGGCTTTTAGTTTCTAATGAAACCTTCTTACATAGTGATTTGTAACACCAACACAATATGTAAAATAATTTAAAATAAAAATATACTTCTTGTGAACAGGAATGACTATGTTCATAGTCTGTGGCAACGAACATTGTATAATAATTTAAAATGACAACATAATGTTAGAACAACGAGCCTGAAGTATGCGTGTAATGATTTCTCAGTTGAAATGTCACTGATGAACGGTCTTTTGTTATTATTACCTATACTATAATATAATAATTAAAATAATTATTGCTATTACATTATTATTTTTGTCATTATTTGTGTTATTGGTATTTCAATTAATTATAATATAATTATTAATAATATTTGTTATTAGTATTTACATTATTTTTTATTATTATAATTATTTTCATTATCATGCAATTTACGGTTCATTTGTTAAGCCACCAGCAAGCCGGAATACTAACTTTTTCTCCCTTTCTCTCTCTTTCTGTCATTCTCTCTTTTTCTGTCTTTCTTTCTCTGTCTGTCTTTCTCATTTTGTCTGTTTTTCTTTTTCTTTTATTTATTTTATTTATTTATCTATTTAATCAATCATTCACATTTTTTACATTTTTCAAATATTTGTTTTATAACACACACACACACACACACACACACACACACACACACACACACACACACACACTCGCATAAACACACACTACACACATACATGGAGGCAACTAACATACGTACAGACACCCACAAACAATGAAATAATCAGACTTAATGATATACAAAATTATATTTAGTGTACGCTCATATAAATACAACGCTTTTATTGTATATGCTATATAATGTTTCTATACAAACAATAGTTTTTTGTTTAGATGCGAGCAGCTAAATTCAGGTGCTTCGTTGCTATGTGCTCAATTGTTAATCAGGTGAACCAAAAAAGCTGCATATTGGAAATTTTATAAATTATTAAAATTTAAATAAACATTAAATAAGTTAACGTGTTTATAATCGTTACGTTTCATACTAAATTTTGCAGAGGAAAATAACTAATTAGATTAATTTTAAATAGTTGTATCAAGAAAATGACGAACGGGATACTTCGACTCGTTTTTGTCGCGTTGATTGCCAGACGTGACGTTTTCTCACTGAAATGTTACTCCTGCGATTCCAACATAAATCCCAGCTGTGGGCGCCAGTTCGATTCTACCAAGGTTGATTCGTGTTCTGGTAATTTCTGCTGGATAAACGAAACTTGGAAAGGTGACAAAAACGTTTTGCGAAATATTTTTTTTATTTTTTATCTTAAATTATAAAAATATTATTATTCTATTTGAAGCTAATGAGAACGTTGAAAAGTTATTTAAATACGACGAGAGAAAATTTCTGCATGTCGATATAATTACATAATTATCATGCAATTCTATTACCGAATTACAATAAATTAATAACTTTAATATATGAAAATTGCTCTCGTAAATACACAAGGCGCTGCTAGTTATCCGCCACCTGCCGACGTTTCTATAACTTCAATCAGAGCATGCGCCAATTCGTCGTCAATATATTTTATGGTGAACACTAACAACGGGGTTTACTACACAGAGACCTGTAGCGACCGGGACTATTGCAATGGACCCCCACCATCAAGTAACTTCACGTTTCTTTACATTACATTGATTTTTGCAATATGAAATACTTTTTGTAGTTATTGGAAGATTTTAATTATTAACAAGATTATCATTAATGAAAGTTTTTGCATCTTTGGCTATATTCAATTCTATTAATTTTAATAATTTACTAGGTTCAATAAGTTGAGTTTGTAAATGGTATGTTGATCAAAAATTGGTTAAAAAGTTTTATTGCTCAATAGGTTAGTCAAAAATTAGCTGAAAACTTTTGATGTGCTGGAAAAAACGTTTTATTCTCGCAAAACATTTCATAGTTATACATGGTTATTTATCTACTCTGAAAAATTATTAGTAGTTGTATTTTTGTGATGCGACTTCTAAAATTGATTTTGAACATTCGGAACCGACGCTTTAGAAAAAAATAAATTGTCAATTAAAAAAATTTCTAAGCACTTCGAAACAAAAATTTGTTGTGAGTGGCTGCATCTTAGAGGTGTCTCAGATTAACTCTAACAATAAGGTACCATTTTTGCATGTAGTTGTTCAAGAATATTTTATAGAAAACTTAAATCATTTTATCATATACAGTTTTGTTTAATTTATGATTTTGACTTTGATATAAAATTTCAAATAGCGCAAATTATTCAATAAATGTTTTTAGTACGACATTCTATTTCCCAGTCCGTGTTAGAACTTTGAATTGAAGTATTTTTATAAGCCAATGTTTTGCATCTAAATAGTTACAGGTTATTCTACAGACAACATGGCTGCATAGATAATAATCAACAACTGGAGTATTCATATTTCGGATAAAAAACAAAAATGTTTCAAAGACAAGATTCCAAGATGCAGACTTGTGAGTCGTTCTTGGTGCATAAAAAAGAGCGGCATCATGCGAATCTGATGTGTCAAAAAACTTCCAATAAATAATCCTTTTTCGGTTGAAGATAACTTATTCCAAAACAATTCTCAAAAGAATTTATAACCTTTTTGGAACGATGAGCAAGAGTAATTATAAACATCCTTTATGGATGAAAGTAAAATGTAGAGACAAATTTGTATTAATATTATCTTTTGATTAAAACATATCTCTGGTGTTGTAATATGCATCTAGAAAAAAAGTTATACTTTTGCTGACTACATATAAAATGCAATAAAATTCAACTTTGAAGTAATGCTGAAAGCTGATGGATTGCTATGACAAAGACCCTTATATATTCTAGTAAACAAAAGTTATTTGCTTTTTAACCTACTTGTCACAGCTGCTATATTGCAATTTGAATAAATTGTTTCTTTGTTGTTGTTTAACAATGTACTTAAGTTTTAATATAACAAATAACAGGTTCTAACAGCAGCATACCTATGAGCTGTTACTTCTGCAGCGGTGATGGTTGCAGCGTTCCTCTGGCGAACATGGCCAAGTGTAATGGTCCAAGCTGCTATAAAGAGGTTTCTAACAGCAAAGGTTAGATGTTTGATGCAGAGCTGAATATGGGTCAACAGTTTTGACCCAAGTGATCCATCAATGTTTGACCCATGACCCAATACATACTTGTAAAATATAAAAAATACAAATGACTGATGGTGTTATTTATCACATCATTTTTAATAACAGCATACATCCAAAAAAATCCCAATGATTACAACGACAAAGAATAAAGACATTGTTGACAGTCAATTTAAAATTCAAACACACATTCATTAAAAAATTGTCTATTATTCTGTTACAGTTTCATGACTTGAGAAATTAACATTACGTGAGTCAATGGATAAACTATTTCTTTTTGAATAAGTCATTTTTTTAGTTTTTTAACTTTAAATTTTAAAAATCTTAGGTATTTTTTTCATTCAACATTTTTCATTTCTTTCAACATTCGTCAAGGTTAGACGCATTTTATATGCTCCGTGTTTTGCTCACAAATTCATATAAAATATCGATTTTTTTTTCTGAACTTATCGGATAAATTGGCTGCAGGTGTTGTGACGTTGTCAGAGGTTATTTTGTTTTTTTCGAAAGTGGAGTTTTTGAATTGATTTTGATTTTTCCCAATATTTCTAATTACTTTACAAATTCAAATAAAATGTAAAGGATAGTTCAAAATTGTGTGCGTGTTGTTTCTGTTGCTAGTCAACAATAAAAGTACATTATTTTTTTTTCTTTTTTTGAAACGGCTTTAATAAGTTTGTATATTGGTTGTACAATATGGTAAACTGTGTGTGTATAACATTATCTCTGTTGTCAAACAACAGTAGAAGTGTATCGCATATCTATCACATATTGCATATCCAGGTAGATGGTTACATTTATTTTCCAATAAATAATAGTGTTTTATATCAAATATTTCATCATTTACTCTCTTATTCCATTAAGTTCCATTGCATACCTCGAATAAATTCCATTCCATTCTTACCTCAACTTTCTCTGTGTCATGGTTGACAATTCACAATATATTATATAACAAGTTCCAATTTTGCAGTCAGGTTGCTATTGTCTCTCCTTTTGTCCCTCTTCTAAGAGAAAATGCCAGGAAAGGCGACAAAAGAGAAATGTATGCACTGTAATAAAGTGGCGGCGACCAAGGAATTGTTGGCATGCAAGGTCTGTAGCCAATGTTGCCATTTCAAATGTATTGGCATTACTGATGCTTCATACAGGGAGATAAATGCAATCGAAGGTGGTTTTTGGTGCTGTGAAACCTGCGTTGTTGTCTTGAATTCTGGCATTTTTGAGGCTCTGTTTGACAAAATTAAAATAATAGATGACAAATTAAACGAAATGAAAGAAGATAATAATGACAGATGTAAGAGCTTTGAAATTTTATTGAAAGATATAGTGAATGAGCAAAACAAAAAAATAGAAAATCTAGAGAAAATTATTAATCAGCATGACAGTAAAAATAATGATATATTGGACACATTAGTAAATAACATAGACACTAGTCTAGACACCATAGTGGAGGGCAATAAACAAAAAATCCGGTTGCAGCAAATCAGAAATATGACAAACTGAAATACCTTCACTGAAACTAAAAGTACTAAAACCGTACAAAACATTTACTCAGACACAAAAAATCCCAATTCAACGGAGTTTACGCTGCACCACAATAGAAAATTTATAAGGAGTGCAAAAAAAATAAACCCGGCAAATACCGCCCGGCCATTGTACTCCGGGGTCCTTCAAAAGGATGTTAAGGTTGTTTATGAAGCAAATAAGGTTTGTGAACTGAGGGCAGCACCTAAGCCGGTTGAAAAATCTGTTTTATATCTTGGGAGAATGAGCCCAGATATAGATGATGCTCAGATATTAAATTATCTGAAAAAAAATGGCATATCAGCAATTAAAATTTATCCCGTAATTAATAAAAACATTGAAAATATTTTAGCGAAATCATTTAAAATAATTATTAAGAAAACCGATTATTCAAAAATTATTAGTGACCCCATGCTTTGGCCTGAGGGTACTGTCATCAGAGACTGGATTTTTAATCAGTCAGATTCACAAACCATTAGGTCTCAAAACAATAATCTCTTCAAGACGACAGATACAAACCCAAATGTCCTATTAACGAACAAAACACCATCATCTAAGGAAGTTGTTGAACAAATTGTTCAGTCGGAAGACTTGAGTTCAGCTCAACAGCTGAATGACGAAAGGGAACGTTTCGAAAAGATAGCTATTACAAATAATTAAAATAACTGTCAAAAACATGAAAACTACCTTTAAACTTTTATATTAATCGTTTTATATACAACATTTTTCGGGACATGA